GGGAGCAGGAGCCGCCACGCACCCTCATGGGGGTTCACGTCCCTCTCGGAGGAGCCCCAGGGGGGTCAGCCCGGTGGCTCATTCCACCGTGGAAGGGCCTGGGGGCAGAGCCGCCGTGGGTCAGTGCTGCAGATCCTGCTGCGATGGCCACGCGCCGTGCCACGCCCAGTCACCTGCGCACTCACACACACCGCGGGGCTGGCAGGGGGCGGGTGTCCCCGGGATGAGCTTGCTGAGTTCACCATTTCCTGGAAGTGCCCGGGCTGGGCGCTGATGGATTTATCCCGTTGCATCAGCCTCCCTTCCTCCGGCCTGATTGCTACACCGCTGGGACGGCCGCCACGGGGCCTCTTTCCTCGTGGCATGTCACCGGCCACCTCGCAATTCCTCCGTGGCTCTCCCCCTCCACCCGCCAGCCCTGCGCTGGGCTTGCAGCCGTACTGGGGTGCCCCGGGTTCCCCAGCCCCAAGTCCTGGGTTCCCCAGCCCCAAGTCCTGCTGAGCCCCAGTGGAAATTAGAGCCCCCCCCTTCTGGACTTGGAGAACCCCACCCCTCCAAGCCCTGGCCAGAGGCTGTGCTGGCTGGCTGCTGGCCACTGCATCCCTTTGCCCCTTTCTTTTTCCGCCCTATCCCCTCACTAGGGGGCGCTGTGGCCTGGTGGAAAGAGCCCAGTATGGGGATCTGAGCGACCTGGGTTCTCTGACACAGATTGGCTGGACGACCTTGGCTAAGTCACTTTGCCATCCCGTGCCTCAGTTTCCCCAGCTGTAGCATGGGGCCAGCGATCATGAAAAGACCTGCTGAGAAGAGGCCTCCCCCGAGGGCAGAGACTTTGTCAAGGGAGTGGCTCTAATGCAGCCAGGCAGGATGCAAAGTGATGGAGATGCCCCACGCTCCCAGGGAGCTGGTCCCCTCGGGGTTCGCAGTGTGCAGCTCCTTCCCCATCTGGATTTGCCAGGCTCCATCCTCCAGCCCTGGGATCTCACAGAGGGCAGAGCTGGGGGCGTCGGCCCGTCCCTGTTTGCCCCCTGGCCTGCTCCCCAGTGCCACAGGGGTAGACCTGCACTCCCCTCCCTCTGCCACCCCCCGCCGGCTCCCCCGGGGCTGGCGTGAGCGGAGCCCGGAGGAATAGCCTAGGTGTGGAGGCGTTGCTGCAGCTCTCACAACTTCTTAGCCGGGCCGTTGCGAGGTAGACGTCGTCGGAGCCTCCTGCTGTCCCTCGCAGCTGGGATTTTGCAATGCCTGTTCCTCCGCGCGGGGTATAAAGCTGTGGGAGGGAAGGCCGGCCAGGCAGGACGTGGTGAGCGGGCAGCTGCAGAAGGTAGGCGAACGCTCTTGTCTTTCCTTCCAGAAAAACAATTCCAGCAGAGACCCCGTTGCACGGGGCGCTGCCCCCCAAAGCGTCACGCTCAGGGCTTTGATGTGGGGGCGGGGCACGACGAGCCACCCCTTGGGGCTGCGGGATTGGCG